TGGGCTCCCTGTGGCATTCAAAGTGGCAGCGCTGCATGGAGAAGCTGACCCTGGGCTCCGTGCAGCACTGCCACTTTGAAGTACCCCCTTCTTCTCTCCCTTGCTGCCTCTATATGATAGAGGCAGCAAGGGTGGGGAAAAGAGTAGTTGACTATCCAGTCGACTATCCGATAAGCATTTGCTTATCAGATAGTCGACTAGTCCTTCACATCCCTAGTGTTAGGATGATTATCACCAAACCAAAAATACAGCTTCTAGATGCAAAGTGAGTTTACAAATTAGCGCATTTTGTTACAATAAACAATATGCTACCAACCTTCTGCAGGCTGGACTTTGTTCAATATTTTTTCACAATTATTATTACAAGGTTTTAAAATATATCATTCAGAGTGAATGAATCAGCAAACAAACCGATGGATGGATGCAGCTATGGCAATTTAATACTGTAGCTGTCTTAGAAGAATTTGACTTACTGTAATGTGAGAAACCCTGTATTACACCACAAATCCAATACAACAGCTGAAAATACCCTCACACAAAACACTTGGGTAGAATTGGTTGCATGGTTGTTGCATAAAATGAGTTCATATGTTTCTATTTTCACAAGGAAGATGAAATCTAATTACAATGGCACTATTTATTAAGATATTTATACACACAACCATATTGTATGCATATAGCTATGTATGTGTTAAAATGAATCTAGTGGAAAAAATCATTTGTTACTCATTGATTGCCTTTTATTGGTAGTCTATTCCAGTTCTGACTGAAGTACTAGCAGGTGTTTAACATACATTATCAGAACGCTTCACTACAAAACTATAATTACAATGTCACCTTGACTGTAACTACCATGCAAGGCATGCACATATGTAGCTAAAAATAGAAAGCAATTCTGTACATTCACACATTTTTAGGAAAATGAAGAAGCTCTATTACACCCTCAATAGCCTTTGGCAGACAGAGAAGGGAGAGTTTAGGGAACCTAACTTACAGTTAGATGAGGAACTCTTCAATATATGCAATCACTTTAATATTAAGCAATAAATGCATAAAGACGGCAATGAACCCCAGAGAGGAACTCACATGAAGCTCCTCTGAAATCAGTGCGGTTCAACCCAAGTCAGAGGTCCAACTTTGGAAAAATCTTTCATGATCAGGGCCTGAATGCCTATTACATTGTGGGCATTATTCAAAGAAAATAAATAAGGAAAACAATGAAACTGTGCAAAGTTGGAATCAAAGGTCTTATGACAACTATATGATCACAATGATAATCATTAGTAATGGGCATTTACAGCTGAGTGTTTATCTTCAAGCCACAGTTCCCATGGTAAGATTTTAAGATACAAACAGGTGAAAATCTCAGGGCATAGGTGGCAAACACAAGACAAAAACCAAAGAATTTTCATGATATAGATAGTAAGCTTGTGACTGAGGGTATGTCTACACTGCAGAGTTTTTCTGAAAAAAACTGATGTTTTTCTGAAAAAAACCCCGACACTTATGTCCACACTGCAATTGCGTTCTTTCAACAGAAAGTCGAAAGAACGCACAGGTTTTTCTGACAGCGATAAACCTCTTTCTACATATGGATGCGTTCTTCTGGAAAATCTTCTTCTGAAAGAAGCCTGCAGTCTAGACATAGCCTGAGGGATGCAAATAGGATGCAAATAAACATCAGTGAAAAAATAATTGCAGCACCTTAATGACTTGGTTGTTATAAATTCCATTTACAAAGCAAAGATTATTTTATAATTAAACAACTTCATAGAATAGCATTTTTTTATTATGGGAACAGAACTGTTTTGGAATTAGCAATAGTCATAGAAGGTCTTTGATAATATCGGTTATTGTAGGAATTGCATGTGGTTAATCATTTATATAGGCAGAATCTAAATTGTATGTATCTAAATTTAATACAATTATTAAATTCAGACATTTTAAAATGTCATATCTAATGCAGGATAGTGCTTGAGAATAACAAGCTTTTTATTCCAAAACTCATTGTGTTTTCTGGTATGATATAGTCTACTTAATTAACAGAACTTTTTTCCACATTACTAATTATGAAATAGATTATTCAAAATCCTCCATTTTAACATAGTTATCTGAATTTATCAGGGGAAACCTGTGTTCAGAATTTCTAACTATTTCGATCACTCCTTGTGGTAATTTGAACTCTATGTAAGCTTATTCCATGAATTCAAGTGAGTAAAGTTAAATTAACCAAAAAACAGCCCAACACATTTTTTCACTGTCACTTGTCTACATGTCCCTGAAGTCCAGATAGAGAGAGAGGTGTCAATTATAGGAGCGCTCTAACATGTTGCACTTTAACTGCCCTATGTACACCATAGAATCACAGCGTTGGAAGAGACTTCAGGAGGTCATGGAGTCCAATCCCCTGCCCAAAGCAGGACCAATATATGCAACTAAATCATCCTAGCCAGGGCTTTATCAAGCAGGGACTTAAAAACTGCTAGGGATGAAGATCCCACCACCTCATCTGGTAATCCATTCAAGTGCTTCACCACCCTTCTAGTGAAATAGTTTTTCCTAATATCCAACCTAGACCTACCCCACTGCAATGTGAGACCATTGCTCCTCTTTTTGTCATCTCTCACTGCTCAGTACAGCTTCTCTCAATCCTCTTTGGAACTCCCCTTAAGATAGTTGAAGGCCGATATCAAATCCCCCCTCATTCTTCTCTTCTGTAGACTAAATAAGCCTAAATACCTCAGCCTCTCCTCGTAAGTCAAGTGCTCCAGACCTCTAATCATTCTGATTGCCTTCCGCTAGGACTTCCTCTGAAGCATCCACATCCTTTCTATAATGGGGGACCCAAAACTGGATGCAGATGTGACTCCACCAGTGCCAAATAAAGGGGAATAATCACTTCTCTAGTTCTGCTGGCAATGCTCCTCCTAATACACCCTAATATGCCATTAGCCTTCTTGGCTACAAGAGCACACTGTTGACTCATATCCAGCTTCAAATCCACTGTAATCCCCAGATCTTTTTCTGACGAACTGCTACTTAGCCAGTCGATCCCCAGCCTGTAACAGTGCTTGGGATTCTTCCATCTCAAGTGCAAGACTCTGCACTTATCCTTGTTGAACCTCATCAGATTTCTTTTAGCCCAAACCTCCAATTTGTCTTGGTCACTCTGGACCCTATCCCTACCCTCCAATGTATCTACCACTCACCCTATCTTACTGTCATCTGCGAACTTGCTGAGGGTGCAATCCATCTCCTCATCCAAGTCATTAATAAAGATGTTGAACAAAACCAGCCCCAGTACCGACCTTTGGGGCACTCTGCTTGAGGCCAACTCCCAGCCAGATATCGAGCCATTGATCATTACCCAGTGATCACACTTAGTTGTGCCCTAACTGCCCCAGAGCATCCCTGCTGATATGACTGAAAACAGAACTACAGCAATATGAACTAGGTCTTTTTCAGTTCACTCAAGCAGGGATGCTGTGGGGCAGTTAGAACACAACACGTTAGAGTGCTGGTACAATGGCACAATGTAGACAAATCCTAACTGAACAGTTCTAAAGTATCTATTGATAGATCACAGGGATCATGATGATCTAGACTGATTTCATATGTACTGTATAAGGAGTTAATTATTTTGCTATAATTTGATTGATCTAAACATAAAGAGATAAATTCAGAATAGTGTCAAAATGAGGTCAGTGGAACAAAGAACATTATTTGATCTCATTCACTCCAATGGAAATCTGGAGTAACTACAAAGTCTATGGAATTACAGAAGGGTAGAGTAAGTCACAATGACATAAGAATCAAACCCTAAGTGAATCTAAACTTAAAAGGTATAACATTTTCTTGCACATTCAACATGTGAATCAAACCAACTTAGATTCCTTTACATTTGCACCCACTTACCAATGTGTTATTTTTATATGCCACTTCTGAATCTGGCTTCCTGAGTCAAACAGAATTTACAACTAGATTTGACAAGACACTGGAGGTGTATTGCAAGGCACCATTCTACATTAGTAGAGAGATGGAAAAGAGCTATCACACCTCTCTCTCTCACAGCTAATCTCCCTCTAATTTATATGCATGTGCTCGCACTTATGCAGACAGAGCAAAGGTAAAGTTTGACTCTAGCTGTAAAGCCATGTGCATGGTGGGATCAAACAGCTATACAGTTATTACTAGCAACATTCTAACCTGATTTCCCTGGGGAAAAAATCCTGTTCTGTTCTTGAGAACTGTGCCAGCCAATTTCTACTACAAATAACTACACTGCATAAAAAGTAAAGTTTGAATAACATACATGAGTATAACAGTTCTCAGAGAGAAAAGTTCTCCAGCTCAGGAAAACCATGTTAGAACCCTGCTAGAAGCAAGCAACATCAGTATTTAATGTAGATTGGTGGTATTTAGCAGAGAGGTCTGAGACCCGTGGGCCTAAGAGATACTAAGTTGTATCCTCAGCTGGTGTCATTTGTCATTGAAATCAATGGAACTATGACAAGTTGCACCAGCTGAGGATCTTGTCCCAATTCTGTATTTTGCAGTAGCATTTGAAGTTACAAATGCAACCAGGAATTCTGAAGGCGCACTAAAGTCCTTCAGTAAAATATATGTCTGGCCTAGATTGTCATTTGTATTCGGGGTTATATACATCAGTACAGCTTGTAATTTAAGGGTACATCTACACTGCATGGCTATTTCAGGATATCTCTGGTATCCTGAAACAGCTACCCCACATCTACACAAGCCGCCTCTTATTTTGAAATATTTTTTGAAATAAAGGGGGCACTATTTCACCATCCTGGTAAACCTCGTTGCACGAGGAATAAGGAATGGCTCAAAATAGCCTATTTTGAAATAGATTCAAAATAAGACACGCAGTTTGCATAGAGCAAATTGTGTATCTTATTTCGAGTTTAGGGTGTTGTGTAAATACACCCTAAATGTTAAACATTTTAAGTCTTTAATCCCTAGTCTGGACAACTTACCTTTGTTTTCTTGTTTAGTCCAGAACTCTTGTACTCTTTTAGTAATGTTTTTGTCCTCTCTCAATTGCTTTTGCCATTGCCGCAGTTCTTGCACCTCAGTGTCACAGCGGACCTGGGAAAGGAAAAACATGCTCATGAAAGACATGTACCTGTGTCCATACTAAATGAATTATTAATGTTTTATATAACAAATCTATGTAAATAAAGAAGGTAACTTATATGGCTTCAAGAAAAACAGAAAGAATGACTTTCAGAGACACAATTCTTTCCATAGGTTGCTAATTGTACAGGCTAGACTTAAAAGCACAATCTAGCCCTGAAGGTTTAAAAAATTCAGTCTATAGAGGAGCAAAATACACATAATTGATCTATCCAGTTGAAACAGAAATATGTCAGTTATGAATAGTAGGGAATCCTCTGAATTCTATGTGATGGAAGATAGTTACATATTTCCTGAACTGTTTAAAAAATTAAACCCTGTACTTAAAAGCTTTAATGCCTTTACCAACCCACTAAGTATCCATAATAGCACAGGGGAGGAACATGAAGCAAACAAAGAGCCATACAGCAGGAAATTAATGCTAGCAAACCGATTCCCACCTGCTAACAACTGCAAAAAGGCTTGCAGACAAATCCCCCCTACCCTTACAATTTAAATAGTCTTTCACAAAAAGGAATGCCATTAATCCATTATTTAGCGTAACTGACATGCATTCATGACATCTATTCTTTGTCAATCATCCATATGATGGCCTGCTGCTATTGAAGACAATGACAACATTCCCAGACGACATATATATTTAAGATTTTCTGAAATGCTCTAACCATTGGTCTAGCAGTGGTGCAGCTCCCATTTGGTAGAAGTGCTTGACACACCTCACTTTTTATTATTGTGTCATTCTTACCTGCTGAAAGTAGTGTAAGATAAGCTAGTGATAACATGCCAGCAGCTGGTCTATCCTAGCATTCCCACAATTCTTAACTCCAATGCTAGAGCAACTCTCAGAGAATTTCAGAAACTCTGAGGATAGACCCATTGCCCTACTTACTTCAGTGGACGCAGGAATAGGCCATAAACCGTTTTTATCAGGCTGGCCAAAGACAATTAAGCAGATTTCTCCAGTGTAGCTAAACCTCTATCTTGTGGTACATGAATTATGATAGTTATCAAAAAGCAGATTCTGTTTTTTTTATAAGATCTAGGTACAACAAATTGCATTGTGATTTAGGGTCCTACAAAGTTAATAGCTGCTAACAACCAATATTAACAAACCTTTTTTCCTTTCTCAATGGTGGTGTCCTCAATATATTCTTGTTTCCAATATACCCACAAATTCAGTTCCCGGAAAGCCTCCACATTTAATTTTAGATAATATTGTAATTAATATTAATCTATGCGGTAATAGTCTGCTATATTTCTAATCTTCCTCTTTTTTCTTTTCTTGAGAACATGACTATCTCCATTAGTTTCAAAATTTTTAAGGGAGACCATGAATGTAATTTAGCAAAAAATATTCTTTCCACCAAGAATATATTTCCTGTGCCTTGCAACCAAGAAAGCTACCTATAATAGCTAAAACCCTGGAGTAGTTTTGAATCTATTTCAGAGGAAGGCACTTTTTACACTGTGTAATGTAATGCAAGGTTACAAAATGAATGCTGACAGTGAAGAATTGTATTCAGTGACCTGACATATATTTCATACAATACTACATTACTTTTGCTCCCATAAACTAGCTCTACAACACTCAGTGTAGTGTTTGCTACTCTTTAATATGAACACTTTAAGTAAAAAAAAATAGACAAAACTGTGTTTTCATGGTTGCAAAATTCAAAACTCATTTCTATGAGCCTCATTAGCAATTCCTTCCAAAGGTAGGTTACACAGGACAAGCCAATACACTAGATGGTCTCCTAAATCACAACAGATGTATTGTGCTTCTCTAATGCTCTTGTATATAAGTTTTACTATATCAGTTTCACTTAATTACAGGTTGAACCCCTCTAGTCTGGCACTCTCTGATAGGGCAAAATTTTATTTAGCCAAATGTCCACTTATCATGGGTGTGGCCAAGTTTTCTGCAGTCCCATAAAGTTTGTTTACAGCCACCTGTGAAAGTAGAAAGAATTATACTATAAGAGAAAGATGAATTATGCTGTAATAATTGAATAAGTTGAAGGAATACTGTTTGTCTCTGAATAGGAAGAAGAAAAGTACATTAATGTTGTTTGTAGGTATGCAGATCAGAGTGCTAGCGAGGTGGGCCTGAGTTAATAGGAAAAGGAAAACTAGGTGTTAGGGAGAACGCAATTGAGATAACCAAGGAGCTATGGACAGGAGATTGCTGTGCGCTTGATGTGGAAATGAAGATACTTGACTAGCCTCACAGTAATCATGTGAAGTTTTGCCCCTCTTTTAATCCTGTTAATTTTGGCTTTCTTTTGACTGTATAAATCAAGGGGTTTGAACCTTGTATGGCGCACACATTTTCTCGGTGCATTTAGCAGAGCGGCTTTGCTAATAAACAGAGCAGTCTGACAAATCTGTGAGGGTATGTCTACACTACCCCGCTAGTTCGAACTAGCGGGGTAGTGTAGACATACCCTCACAGATTTGTCAGACTGCTCTGTTTATTAGCAAAGCCGCTCTGCTAAATGCACCGAGAAAATGTGTGCGCCATACAAGGTTCAAACCCCTTGATTTATACAGTCAAAAGAAAGCCAAAATTAACAGGATTAAAAGAGGGGCAAAACTTCACATGATTACTGTGAGGCTAGCTTTTGTAAGTGGTCAAGAGACGCACTTGTTTATGGAGGGGGTGCCATGTCTAGTATGGAGGTTGGGTGCAGAAGGAAGCTCGGGGAAGGGGACTGGGGTGCAGGAGAGGTGTGGGGTCTGAGAAGGAGTTTGGGTGAAAGGGGGGTGTCCTGGCACAGATGGTTGGGGTGCAGGGTCCAGAAGGGGATATGGGTTCAGGAGAGGATTCTGGCCTGGGGGAGGGTGTAGGATATGTTACAGGGTCTGGAAGGGAGTTGTGACCTGAGGAAGGAGGGGAGATGGGTGCAGAGGGTTTGGATGGGGATCTGGGGCAGAAGGAGGTGATGACCTTGGGCAGGTAATTTGGGGGAGGGTGGGGCTGGTGGGGCTGGCGGGCCAGAGACAGGCTATGGCTGGGAGGTCCTTACCTAGGTGGCTCCCACCAGCAGCCCTGCATGACACCAAAGCAGGCCCCCTGCTTGCCACAGCCCCAGATCTGCTCAAAATGTCTGACTTCTCCCTGTGGCTCTCTGCTCCACGTGCTGGGAGGGGGGAGGGGCAGGAATCGCGTGCTTTGCCCCCATCCCTAGCAAAATCTCTCAGCTTCCATTGGCCTGTTTCCATAAAGCCTCCTCCAGGGCCCAGAGCAGAGAGCCACAGGAGCAGCCACCCATGTAAAGTGCTGTGGGGCAGCTCTGAAGCAGCTGTCTGCTTTGCTTCTGAGGGTCCCGGCGGGGTGGCCCGTGCATTGGATCATGTGGGCCATAGGCCACATCCATTGGTTTGGCAGGCCAGATCTGGCCCATGTGCCATATCTTGTCCACCCCTATGCTAGACAATATTGATCTGTGGTTCGCCAAATTCTCTGGTTCGGCACCAGTCAAGTCCTGAGGTGCCAGACTAGAGAGGTTCAACCTGTAGTTGCATGGAATCAATTTTTCCATGTGCAGAGGGGTGGGAGGAAGGAATAGCAGGAGAAAATAAAAATGAGAAGAGGGTAAAGGAACAGGTTTTTCTCTATTTCAAAGAAATGACAGCAACTTCTTACTGCAAATTTGTTGAATAAGTGAAGTGAACCTATGTTAAAATGTGTTTAGCTGGGTGTCATGGGTGCACTATCATCAATCTCTATATATTAAGATTAAAGACAATGATGCTAATGGCTAAAGAAGAAAAATCTAAACATAGAGCAGGTCCTTACAGCCCCAACTGGATGTAAAGGAGAAGGGGAGTGCACAAGGAGATCCTTTCCTTTTGTCCCTCCTGTAAGCGTCTATCAAAGTGCTGGAACTACTCTCCATTCACCCTACTGGAGCCTGGAAAGAGACTCGCAAATAAGGTTGAAAAGGAGCAGGAGCACATTTGGCTGCATCCTATCACCCTCTGAAAGTGCACAGCAATGGGGGCACTGTTCTGCAAGAAGAATGCCTCTCAGAAATTATCCTGAGATGCTGTAGCTGTTGGTGGGCTAATGCCTAAAAGGCAGAGTAAAGTCCATAAGGCCTAATTCTGTAATGGCTTATACTTTGTGCTACCCCACTGAAGGAGCACAGAATGTAGGCTGGCACAGAACTTGGACCAAGGGGTAGCATAGGGTGTAATTAAGTGCTGAATATGGTCAATAAAGAAGAGTTACTTACCTGTGCAGTCAGATGTGTGTCCCCATGGGTGCACCACTCTAGGTGACTGCAGAGCAGTGTCTGTATCGTGGAGGTGGGTTTGGAGCCCTGCCCCTGAAATTGAGGATAGTATCACTTGTTTGACCACCATGGATGGAGTGATTATGGAGATGAGAGCATAGTGTTTTGCGAAGGTGTGGTCCGATGACCAAGTGGCTGCCTTGCAAATGTCTTCTAAAGGCATGTTTTTTAGAAAGGTTGTTGTGGAGGCCACCACTCTGGTAGAGTGAGCAGTGGTGGTTGTTTCTTGTGAATGGTATAGCACAGTGATTCCCAACCTGTGGTCCACGGTGGGCCCAATCCTTACTTTTCTTTTCTTTTTCTTTTCCTCTTCTCTTTTTTCCCCACGGAAGGGAGTCCATGCAATTTTAATAGCTTGAAAAGAAGCCCATATGCTTGAAAAGATTGGGAACCACTGGTGTAGCATGTGTGGCTGCAAGATGAGATTCATTTGGATATTTTCTGTAAAGAGATTGCTTGACCTTTGGACTGTTCAGCGAATGATTAAGAGTCTCATTAATTTTCTCCATGGCTTTGCTCGATCTAGGTAGAAGGCATGTGCTCTTCAAACATCCAAGGTGTGTAATTCCACCTGAGATGGATCAGCATGCAGTTTAGGGCAGAATGCAGGTAAGTGTTTAGGTTCGTTAATGTGGAATGGTGATGGGACCTTTG